GTGATTATTGTATGTTATGGGGGTGGGTGGGGGGTGGAATTAAGGGTATAAGTATAATCACTATGACTATCTTACAGATTTCAGAGTGCAGAGATTTGAGAGCGAGTTGTCTACTGTCTTGATATGACCTTTCCTTTTACAATTTTTTATTTATTTATTTATATATATTTTTGTGTTTTTTTGAAATAATATTTTTGTGGGGGGTAGGGGTGGGGGGGGGGGGGGGGGGGTAAGGTTAAAATTTTGGGAAGTTGCCCTTTATTTTTTGTTCTGGCCCGGGGTTTTAGTCCTCTACCCCAATCCCCAAATGCCTATTTTTGGGAATTGAGGTTTTTATGCCCAACCCATTACATCATTTTTTTTAGGGCTTTTTTTTTTTTTTTTTTTTTTTGGAGGGAATTAGTTTGCATATATGTATCTCAATTGAAAAAAAACATCATAGTATAAGTTACACAAAACGAAACTATGTGCGCGAGTCTCGCAACGGTGAGGGGACCGCGCCCGACGAAGCTAATTGTCGATTTCCAAATACTTGTTATCGTTAATTTTTAGAAGTTCGTTGACTATTTTCAGCCGTGTTACTCAATTTTTTGCAAGTGCACTGTGAAAATTAGTTCATTGCTATGTTGTTCCGTGAAAATTAAAAGTCATATTTATTAACATTGAAATAAAGGACAAAAAATACGAAAAAATAGGGTAAATGACAAACAATACACACTTAAATCCCAATCCAATAGATTCTATGAACAACTCAATTTGCAGAATTGAGATTTCATTTTTCTATTAGAAATGATTACATTTTGAAAACTTACCTAACATCGGAAAAAATGCGATTTGAAGGCCTAAACGACGTTAAATTGCATAAATCGAATGTGCTTCAATAGTTAAGGTATCGAGTTTGGTACGGTACATTTTTGCCGTTTTTTCTTCAAATAAGCTTAAGCGCACATCAATTAATCATAAGGATAAAATAAAGGGTAATGTAAGCGTTAAACATATTTAAATACTAGTTAAATGACTTTTAGCAAATGAAAATTCACTAAAGGAGATTAAGCTTAATATAAAAAAAAACGTTAATTTGTTGTTTATATTTTTGGTAATGAAGAAACGGCAACTAACCATATAGGTAATCGGTAAACTTACAATCTCGTGCAATAGCTCGCAATCGTACCAAAAGATGTAAACAAAACTATGTTAAATTATATGTGACAAGTTCGGCCTAAAGAATATTGACAACAAAACTATTTTTTTCTATTTGAGTTCTATATCAGGAAATAGTAGGTAATTTTTTCTTGAAATAATCAATTATGATATTAACATTGTAGAACCAAAAAAAAAAAAAAAAAACAATGATTCCAACTGTTAAATAAAATATTTAAGTAAATAGTAAAATCATGTTCTAAAATTTTAATCAATTCCATCTCTTCTTATATTAGAGAAATTCAATTCAATATGGGGTGGGTAGTTGAAATTGGGCCGGGTTTGCGTTTTCTTTAATGTTGGGCTTATCTCTATTATGGGTTCCATGGGCCCAAATAATATAATATAGTGTCACATCCGAAAATAAATAAATTAGAGAAAATAGCTAAAAAAAAAAAAAAAAAAAAAAGAAGAAAGAAAAAGAATGATAATTTAAACCCACCCCCCATATATATATAATTAACAAATTTAAATTACTAAATTTTAAAAGATGGTCAAACAAAATTTTAATATATAATTATTTTTATGTGTATTTTAGCTAGCTGGAAGCGAGTTTGTATAAATTACACTCGAGAAACGCGATTAAGTTTGACGGAAAAATTAACCGAAAGTCCGAAACTACACCCTACATCAGGGTACATCTGCAAAAGCTTGTAACTATGGGGGATTAAGTGCAATTTAATAAGTATTTTATTTCTGACCAATAAAGGAAAAAAGAAAAAGAAAAAAAAAAAATTAATTGAAATTCACTTCTTCATCAAGGTCCAGTCATCTAGGTTAATATTTAACGGCGTCAGTGTATATTTGTGTGTAGTTAGGTTTTCAATCGACGGCCGTCCTCTATTTATCCGGCGACAATCTATATCTCTCAATCTCCGACGTCAAGCTATGGGTTCCGAATCCGAAGGGAAGAAGAGCAAAAAAGTGCGAAGAAAAAACAAGGAAGAATAGTGGTGGTATGGAACGGC